CTCGTCACAGGTTTCTCTGAGGACACAAGCTCAGCATTATCTCCTTCACATGACTCCAACAACTAAAGCCAGCAGAACTCAAGTCCATTTTTTTAAAAAAGTCAGCCTCAAAAAACCTTTATTCACCCCCCTACCCCAAACAAACATTAGCATGCAAACGAGTTAGCTAGCGCTAATAACTCTGCTGCAAAATTATTGGCTAATTATACCAATTATTGCATTCATAGCCTATCAGACCATGCTTTGATCATCCAGAGACAAAAATGTGCCTTGGAACCAATCCACAGGGCAACCAACAGTCTCTTTCAATTGTTCTTTCTGCAAACCCTTTTGCCAGGAGTTGCTCATCATCATCACTGCCCACTGGGACATGGCCCTGAGCCAGAACAAATGGTTCCAGCACACCATACAGGGTTCTGAGGTGATGACACCTCATTTGGCAACACTCCCTCCTAAAACATTCATGAAAACATTCGCCAGGGCTAGAGCTGCTAGTACAGTGCATTGGGTGCTTGCACTGGGCACAGCCAACCCGGGCTCCATCCTTGGCACCACATATGGTCCCCTGAGTCTCGCCAGGAGTGATCTCCAAGCACAGCCAGGGGTGACCCCCAAACCAAAACCCAAACAAAATAAAAACAAATAGCCACCACCTCAATGACACAGAGAGCGATCACTCTTAGCTTTCAGAGCACTGGAAGCTCTGATTCTGGGGTATACACACATTTAAGTGATAAAAAGTCTGTCTTCATTTTAGAGCACCCTGTGTGTGGTTTCTCCATTATAGATTGCCAAATTGAGGAGTCTCTAATAAAACATGTATGAAGAAGCTAAGAAAGATCTACAAAGTTAGCAAAATATTCACAGAGGTATCATTTGGTTCATATTAATATTTTAAGGTTCTTCAAAGCATATGTGTCTTTAGATTTAAAAGGGCCTAGGATCAACGGCATCCAAACTTCATCAATATTCAGAGGAGTTTTCTCCATGTAGGTCAAAGCTTAGTGAATTGATAAGGCAACATAAGCCGAGAGTGGAATCATCAAGATTACATTAGACGATGTGCTGGTAAAACTAGAGTGAGCCTTAAAAACACACAACTGAAACAGGGTTGGAGAGGGTAAGCCATTTGCCTTGCAAGCAGCCAATCCGGGTTTAATCTCTATCTGGCACCCCACATAGGGTCCCCAAGCACTGCTAGAAGTGATTCCTCAGTGCAAGTGCCAGGAATAAGCCCTAAGCACCACTGGGCATGGCCTAAAAGCCAGTAAAGTTAAATAACAGAAAGCAAGAGGCCTATAGGGTGCCACTCAGTGGAGGAACACATGTTTTGCTTCTGTACAACTATAGTTGCATTCCTGGCACCATAAAAATAAATAAAACCCATAAACCATCATTTTTTGTTGTTTTTTTTTTTGATTTTTTAAATTTACTTAAATTTTATTGTGGGGTTTCTGGGGGTTTGGGGGGCCATGCCTGGTAGTGCTCAGGAGCACCTGAATCTGTACTCAGGGATCCCTCTTGGAGATCCTAGAGACCATTTGCCGTCCCCTGATCATGTGTAGACCCTTTGTAGTCCAACCAGGTTTGACTGTACACAAGACAAGGGCCTTAACATTTATACCATCTCTCTGGCCCCCTAAGCCATGGTCAGCCACGTTTTCATGCTGCCATTTGTAGTGTCTTCTATTTCCTTAAAATCAGTTTATCACTTGATCATTTGATATCCCGTTACTCATCGATTTGTTCGAGCTGTGGCCAGTAACGTTTCCATTCATCCCTGTTGCCTGCTAGCATAACCCAATGGCATCGGTTCGTTCTAGGAACATGAAGAGCCTCAAACCGATCGTTCAGGGTCTTCACGAAGAAGTCTGACCATCTCATAGGTGGGTGTTCACGCGATCTTTTGATGTCCCGTGGAATCAAGTCAGTAATGGCTCTAGTCCCAGGGGTCGTCTCTAAATCTCATTATGTGTCCAGCCCATCTGATTTTCGACACCTTGGCAAACGAGACCTTGTCCCTGATTCTTGAGCGTTGATGGAGGGTGGAACTCCGGATTCTTTCTCTCACTTGATTGAAGTGTGATACTCCAAGCATAGCTCTTTCGATTCCTCTTTGAGAGACCCAAAGAGCATTCTCATTAGCATGAGAACAATTGATTAAATTGTAAGGTAAGGTAAAGGTAAAGGCCCTCCCGTTGATCGTCGATTTGCTCGAGCGGGCCCAGTAACGTCTCCATTGGAGACTTTGTTGTTACTGTGTCTGGCATATCGAATACTCTCGGTAGCTTGCCTGGCTCTCCGAGAGGGGCGGAGGAATCGAACTCGGGTCGGCCATGTTGGCCGCTTGTAAGGCGAACGCCCTACCCGCTGTGCTATCGCTCAATTATACACATGATAATTCTTTTGTTCTTTTGTTTTATTTTTGAGCGACGCCTAATTGTATTCAAGGTTGGTTCTTTGCTCAGAGCTCAGGGATCACTCCTGGGGACCAAATATGGTGCTAGAGATCAAACCTGGGTCAGCTGCATGTAACGCAAGCACCCTATCCACTGTACTATCTCACTGGCCGCTACTTCACAATTATTGATGTTTATAATTTCAAAAGCTTTTCCTTTTTTTTGTAGTCCTGGGGATTAAAGAAGGACCTCACACATATCACTGTGTCACAAACCCTGGCCCCACAAAGTTTTCTGTTTTTATCCTTTAGGGGGGCCACACAGGGTTCACTCCTGCCTCTGTACATGGGGCATTTCTGACAGGGCTCAGCGGACCATATTAGGGTGCCAGGGATTGAACCTGGCGCATCAAGCACCCTGTCTGCTGTGCTATCTCTCTGCCTCCTGTAAAATTTTGATTCCATTGTATGCATTGTATTACAAATGTGATCATGATGATATTGTTATTTTAAACAATTTGATAGCATGGAAGATCATAGCTTTCTCTCTCTCTCTCTCTCTCTCTCAATCTCTGCAGCTCTTTTTCAGTTTGATACTTTCTACTATGGCAGGTCATGGAAATTCATGGTAGAGGAAGGTTATAATAAGAACCATCTGAACTTTCCCCCATCTGAGTCCTTCTGTCATGATTAATTGTTAGTTTTTGTAAGTGTACCCATTTTTATTCGTGCTTTGAAAGAAGTTAACCATCAATGTCTTCCTTTAGAGTAATGCTGCTTGAAATACTCCCTGCTTTGTTCTCTGTGGCACTTTACACAAGCGGTCTCTGTTATTGTGGTTCCAAAGCCTTCCAACAGTCTGTAAGAGACAGGTGGAAACTACTCTTTAATGTCAGCATCTAAAAATACCGAAGACAAAATTCAAAGGAGTAGTCAGGGATGATTCTTTTCATATCAAGCATCTCAGGTGGCTTGCATCATAGAGAATTAAAACAACTGAAAGAAACAAATGCCTATGATGTTTACAGTGATAAAAATGGCCTTGTATAGTACACAGCACATAGAGTACTGTACACGGTACATAGAGTACTGTGTGAGGTCCGGAGTTCAGTCTCTGCCACATGCTGATATTGCATCAAGGTGTATCAATGCTTGATAGAAAATAATAAAAACCATCCATTTATATTTCCTAAAGGTCTCTGCCATTGCTTACTTTCAAAAGCATTCCAAGAGTTCAGAATTAGGATTTAATCGGAGGAGGGTAGAGTTTTGACCCAAACCCATTGGTGCTCAGGGCTACTGGTTCTGTGCTCAAGGATCACTCCTGGAAGGACTTGGGGGACCACATACAGTGCCAGGGAATCAAATAAGGGTCAATTGCATGCAAAGAAAGTGCCTTCATCCCTGTACTCTTTGCCCTATGATTTAATTTTAATTAATTAGCTAATTAATTTGATGCTAGGGATTAACTCCAGGGCGTCATTCAGACAGGCCATGTCATCTACCATGGAGCTATCCTCGATGTGAGTGACATTTCCAGCACAGACTTTGAATCCTTTCTTAGGAGGAAATGTTTTCCAGGAGGGGGCCATATGGAGGTAACTTAGGAGATAAAAGAATCACTGCATGAGAGCACTGCATTATTAGTCCTGAAGAGGAGCCACCAAGAAGACTTATAAGTTCAAGAGTCATGAATTATACTGAGAAATGCTGCCCAATTATGTGTTCGACCAGCATGGACTGGACACCTTCCATGAATCCAGAACTTGAATAGAAAGGAGGAAAAAGACACAGATGTGATGGGGGATATTTTTGCTCCTGCTTAAAATCATCAAGAGACTTGAATTTAGTTAAACAGAGAAAATCAGAATAATAAAGCAATAGATACAATCTCTAGAGGTGTGATTTGTGAGTCCTCAAGGGTTCCCTTGTTCTCAGAATATTCCTTCCTTTAGATGCTACAGATTACATATGTGTATTTTTTAAGTCTTAGCCATTTTTTCCCCAAAGTCCTTCCTGTTTAATTATCCTTCAAATTCAGGCCTTCTCTCTAGGTAAAGTTGTAACACACACACACACACACACACACACACACACACACACACACTCCCTTTAAAATCCCCGTTGTGATATAAATTTTATTTACGAGGTTTGTGTTCTTATGGAATAGCATCTCAGTCTTAGAATAATGTTGACTAGGTTCTGCTGTACTGAGACATAAGACATGAATATAATTCTGCAGCCAATTAAGCTGACTGTAGCCCTTCCCCTACCCCACCCAGGACTCCCCCTTCCCTTTACCACCCCCAAGGGACCTGGGATACAGCGACTGTAAATATCATTGTAAGCAACCTGATGCTTTGATACCTGGCTAAAAGGGATCTTGGAGATAGCCCTTGATGGTGAAAATTCTTATCTCATGCCCTAATGTCTAACTTAGCTGCACACAGGTATGTAGGACATATATAGGACATAGTGGTCAGTCATTGCTTACGTGATTGAGGCCCTACACTGGGTTTAGTTCATGTTCCCTGGCCGCTTGAAAATTTGTTTTTCTGAGAATTGGGTATTCACTGTGTTTCATGCTGATGAAATTGGAGACATGGTAGCCAATAATCGGAGGAGCATTCCAGATGTCTGTGGAGTCAAACTGATCCATGGTCTCCTGACTAATGGTGGGCCCTGCATGCCTGAGACCCTCAGCTGTGCCCTCTCCTGAGTCACACCAACTAAAAAAGTCAATTTGTGATCATTAATGGGAGTATGTTATTTAACCTTTCTTCGTCCAGTAATCTTAATCCACACGCAGCATTCCTGAGTGCCATACTCAATGGCACATGATAGGAAGTTTCTCCTGTCCTTTAAAAGGAGTTCTTTAAAATCTTCTTGCAAGACTGGTTTCAAGGCTATAAAGTCCCTGTCCATGAAGTTTTTGTATAGTTTCTTCAAATCTAAATGATGACCTAGTTGGATAGAACATTCTTTGGGTCTATTTTCACTGTGACCCGTTGGGCCTCTTCAATCTTGGTGCCTGTAATACTCAATTCTGGGAGGTTCTTATTGATAATTTCTTTGACTATTGTTTCTTCATCACACTTGCCTTCCTGTTCTTCAGGGACTCTGGCGATTCTAATATTGTTCCTCTTGTACTCATCCCATAGATCTCTGGAATGTTGTTCATTTCTTTTCAGACTATTTTCTACCATCTGCTGTTTTCTAGCAGTTTCCTCTTCCTCATTTTGGAGCTCCTTGATCTTTTGCTCAGCTTCTGTTCTAGTATTTTGCTGTTCAGAGTTTCTATTTTTTTTATATCTCCTACCATGTACTTCATTTCTGTCATTTCTGATTATAGTAGTTTTTTTTTATTTTGACTGTCATACTTTCTTGTGCTTTGCTGACTAGCTGTGCTATCATTTCTTTGAACCCATTGAACATTCTCCTCATGGTATCACTAAAGTCACAGTCTTACTAATTGCCATCTTTTCATCTCTCCAAATTACAGCACGGGTGATCATTTTTTAAATCAGACAAATACATTCATTTCAAATAAATAAATTATAAAGTTTTATTCTCATGTTAGCTCCATAAACAGTCCTTGTATTTTGGTGATTTATTAAGACCAAATGTGCAATTTCTCAGATCTCACTCTTGTTGTTTAACTTTTCCACTGATACTAATATAAATGATAATTTATATATTATTTTCTTATCCTATAATTTTTACTGACATTTTATTTTGATTACTGTTCATTTTCATTAGTTTTTTCATTTATAAAATTTATATTTATTTCTTTCAAATCTATACATTGGTTTCTCACAGATTCTTATTTTCTCGTATTCCAAGATCACCCTTTAATACCTTGAGTAACATCATTTTTATAACTCCTACTGATAATTTTATCACTTAAAGGGTCTAAAGAGAAAGAATTCTAGTAAACGACATCAATAGGACTTAAGGAAGAGTTTCCTAATATACTTTGTATTCAGGAATAGTTTTGTAAATAAAGTTTTATTAAAACACAGACTTATCTGTTTCCTTTGCAAACAGCCTTTGTTCTACATAGCAGAGGGATTTTCGCTACAGACCGGATAATATTTGCTGTCTGTTTCTTAACAGATGTTTGTGAAAGTGTAGTATATACATTCAAATCCCAAAGAGAGACCCCATGTCCTTCCACTCAGAGCAAGTTGACAAGTTTTCTTTGTTGATTCCTCATTCTAGTGGGAAGTCTCCTTTTATTTTATTTATCTATTTGGTTCGATATGCCAAACACAGTAACAACAGGTCTCACAATGTTACTGGGCCCGCTCCAGCAAATTGATGAACAATGGGAGGACAGTGACAGTGACAGATTTATTTAATTGGGAGGAGGGAAGGGACTCCAACTGATACCTAGATTTCTGGGAGACCCTGTCATTGATTCTTGCAAGGTCAACTGGGCTGACAGTTCAGAGTAAGGATTCGGGGAGATGCTGCTGGGCTCTTCAGTGTAGGGGAACCTGGGCCCATTCCACTGATACTAGGGGCCTCCCAAACCACACACTATGATGCCCCCAGGCCTCCAGGGCTGTACCTTGTGACCCTGGGGGACCATGTGATGCTAAGATTAAAACCCAGGTTGAGTGCATGCTGGACATGCATCCTAGCCACTATATATCATCTCTGGGTCCCACTTTTAAACTTTAATGGGCCAAATGTTCTCTAAAGATATAGATTTTTGAAGGCTGGAGCGATAGCACAGTGGGTAGGTTGTTTGCCTTGCACGTGGCCGACCCAGGCTCGATTCCCAGTATCCCATATGGTCCCGCGAGCACTGCCAGGAGTAATTCCTGAGTGCAGAGTCAGGAGCAATCCCTGAGCATCTCTGGGTGTGACCCAAAAAGCAAAAAAAAAAAAAAATTTTTTTTTTGGTTTGGTTTTGGGTTTTGAGATCATACCTGGCAGTGCTTTGGATCATTTATGACAGTTACAGAGCTCAAAGTGGGCCCCTAACATGCGAAGCATGCATGAGCCCTTTGAGCTAGCTTTCTGGTGGTAAGGAAACTGCTTTTTTGGGGGTCCTGAGTTTGTGCAGATTAATGAATTCTAAGTCTCTCTTTTGCAGGAGCCCAGAGCCCAAGAACTCATAATCTAGGGGCATTTTAATCCATACTGAGATCTGGAAAAATACCTTTTTTTTCCCTGCTGCATCAGTACCTTTGTCAAATATAGATAATAAGACTCAAAGTATAGCAAAATTTTAAGAAGCAACACTCACAAATAAGGTCTTCTTTAAAAAATAATGATCATCACAGAGGTACTGAGGTGTGAGTAGGGGGCCAGGGACCATACAGTTATGCTCAGGTCACGTGAACATTTTTCAGTATTATTTTTAGAATGTTGCTCTCCAGATTAACTCTTTTCTGCTTTGAAGGAAGCAGAGAGAGCAGAGAGCCATATTTAACATGTGGCATATATAACGGCAAATATTTCTGTCTGTATTTAGCCATTGTCATCGTTTCCAAGGCAACTACTTTACTCTGGGAAGAAGGGCATAACATATAAAGATGCTATAAAAGATTTATAGTCACTTATTTGGGATGATCTTCATAACTCTCAAGGTTATGAGGGAGGGAGTTGTCACAAACATGTGGTCATAAAAACTCAAAGTAGTTATCGACTATTTCCCTTGAGAAACTATTTTGAAGTCATTTTTCATTGCTTAATAATCTGGCTTCATTTTAAGCCACTGCACTGGAAGGTTATTAGATTGGTATGAGTAATTTGTCAGATTCTACTCATTAGGTAGACAGTAAATAAGAAAAAAATAAGCAAGAAAAAATGTTGAGAGGACAAAGATAGCTGGCTAGGTTTAAAAAAGCAGGCAGGAGGTTGCTTTTGAGTGCAAAAGCTGCAAAATGTGGCTAACAAGTCGCCACATAGTTGGGAGCGTGGTGACAAGGACAATTGTGACCATAGTAATGTAGCTTAACTTTATTCTGATAACACAGGAGGGTGCAGTCACTTATTCAGATGTAGCTTTGTTACACACTGAGGAAGGTAACAACTCATTTCTCTAACAGATCCTTTGGATCAATTTCATTGTCAAGCGATCTTTTCGGATAAGATATTTCACTGTCTGGGGAAACTCACAGATAACAGTACAAATCAATTTCCCAAATGAATGGTCTGTATCTTATCCTGTTTTAATCAGTCAACAGTTATATTTCTTTAAAATTTTAGACTGATTTTAAATTAGAATCTATTCAATTAGAAAGACAATGGGGAGAAAAAATCCCCTTTGGTTACTCTATTTCAAGTGATTTCTAAACATAATTAACATGATATAATTTTTCTTCCAACCAGGCCAAAGAGAAAGGAAAGCAGTGCTTGAATATCGTCAGTCTCTAAAGTACAAACAAACACCTACAATCATTGTGAAGCTTATATTCTATGATGTAGAAAAATTCACTTTAAAAGATATATATATATATACCCCAAAATGTTTAATTTTTATTAAATTCATGAAAAGACATTCTTTCTCACTTTAGGAAAGCTACACTACGATGAATGTACCTAGAAATGTTTAGGATATTTTTTTAGAATGTGGAATGGAGATTCCATTCCACCAAAATATATGCTACCAGTTAGGACTTTATTTAAATTAAAATTTCAAAATAATTGTTTTTGTTTTTATGTTTGAGCTACACCTGGCTCTGCTTGGGGCTTTCTCTTGGTTCTGTGCTAAGGAATCACACCTGACAATACTTAGAGAACCATAAGCAGTGCCGAGATCAACCCAGGTAGCCTGTGTGTAAGACAAGTACCCTACCCACTGACAAATTAGTTGTCAGTTTCTTATAGACTGTTTGTGTTCCACTACCCCAAAATTATGTATTGAAATCATAATACCTTGATATGATAATATGATGATTGTATTAGTCCTTTTGGAAGTTGATTAATTCATTAGAAAAGAATCTCATGAATAAAATTAGCACCTTTAAAAATATTAATTTTTCACCCCTGGCAATGGGCAAAGAGAGACCTCATTCATGTTCTTGGTTTTACATCCACTGATGTGAAGGGCAGAGCAGATGGTCCTTTATTTATCCTAGCTCGATTTTGGGGTTGTTAACCAGAGCTGTTTCATGTTTGGGGCCTATTAAAAAAATCTTAATATTTATTTACTTATTTTGGTTTTGGACTCACACCTGACAGTGCCCAGGGCTTACTCCTAACTCTGTGCTTAGGGATCATTCCTGGCAGAACTTGAGGGACCAAATGGAATGCTGAAGATCAAACCTGGGTGGCCACATGCAAGGCAAGTGCCCGACCTACTGTATTATTGCTCCAGCCCCAAATCTTCTTAATTTTAATTAAAATCTTAAAAATTCAGGCACTGTGATTAACAATGCTGTTATTAATAAAGTTTCAGTTATATGATGTTCCAACACCACTTGTGTCCAATATCCCCACGTTCCCTTGTACATTGTCCCCGCAGCTCACCTAATCTTAGTGACCTCATTGTTTTGATTTAATTATTATAGTTTGGTTCACATGTTTACAATAGAATTAACACAGGTCTTATGGTTATTTTTGGGTTTTTATCTAGAGGGCCACATTTGTTGGTGCTCAGAGTTTACTCTTGGCTCTGTGTTGAAGGGATCAATTCTGGTGAGACCCGCGACCATCAGCG